GCCCGCACTGGGCCTGCCGCCGCGCCCGCACGTCGTCCGCTCGCACTGCACGGAAGCGCCGCAGTGCGCGTGCGCCTGCGCCGGCACTCCAACTTGAAACAGAGCAGGCGGTAGCTCCGGAGGTCTGGCGGGGCGGACCCCCGAGATAGTCGCTGTTCTCGGCCTCCCGGCGTTGGGAAGTGTCCTCTGCGGGGTAGAGGTACGCGCCCCCGCCTGGCCGCGGGCGCCCGGGAGGCGCAGGGGGGGGTCCGGCGTGGGCGGGGCGCCCGGGTCCCTGGGGACCGCCACGGGGCTCTTGGGGCAAGGCCGCGGCTGGGATCCCGGGGCTCCGGGCACCGGGACCCCGCGTCTGGGGTGCGCTTGCGCGGTAGCCCGCGACGGCAGAGGAGCCGAGGCGGTGACGTCTTGGTGGCTCGAGGGGCCGCGGCAGCCCACCGACCCTTCCTGGGATTCTTGGAGCCTCGCCTCCCTGGAAACTTCACTTGGCGTTTTTGTGGTGGCGAAGCACAGTGGGACACGCGTGCCGCGGCGGGTTGTTTGTTCTCATTGAAAGCTCTAAAAGGCTCGCCTACTCAGTAGGAGACGCCAGTTCGTCACCCCGAAAGGACATCAACGGGTCTTACGGCCTGTTTCTCCTAGTGTTCAGAGTTGGTTTGCCTTAATGGTAAAGTGAATCATTGTGTAGCTGTCGCCTTTATGGAAGCACCAGTCTCTGGAGGGTTACTGATACATTTTAAGGCAGTATAGCATATGCCAAAAGTGTAAACCACATACATACTTAAGAAATGGTATGAAACAACCAGATAAAAACAAAAAGAGCATTGCCGGCTTCCCAGATCGCCCACCCTGTGTTCTTTGCTGAGCGAATTCCCTCCCTAACCTGAGTTTTGTGATAATCATTTTCTTGCTTTCTTTACAGTTTTACCACATACTGTATAATGTATGCAGTATAATGAGGGAGGTGCCTGGTTTTGAATTGGAAACAGTGTGGTATTTTACAACTTCCAATTACTATGAAATCTGTGTACTTGTATGGGTAATTTTCATCACGGTCTGGTATTGTGTGAATATAGCAGTGTGTGCATTCTAATGCAGTGTGTACATTTGCTACAGTTTAGAGCCGCTCAGAACCATGCTATAAACATTCTTGTACATGGACTCTAGTACAAAGGTGCTGGAGTTTCCAACATACACGCCTTAAAATCCTAGAAGCATTGTGGATTCATGGATTATGCATAGCTACCAGATAATGCCAAATCTTTATTTAGAGTACTGCAGTTAGCTTCTTAGGGAACACCTTCACTTTGTTTTGCAGGTTCTGAAGCCCTGTCTGCCCTTACTCCTTTCCCATTAAGAGTAGATTTTCTCACTGAAGAGTGAGAACTACTCAGCACTGAGTATTTTAAATTCATTTATGTATGTCTTTATTGTACAGGGAGTTGAACCGAGGATCTATATCCCCAACCCTTGGTGGTTGTTTTTTTGTTGTTGTTATGGTTGTTGTTTTAAGACAAGGTCTTGCTGACATTCCCAGACTGGGCTCATACTTCTGTCCTCCTACCTCAGCCTCACAGAGGGCTGGAAACATTGCATTTCAGCAGTGCCTCACAGTGCCAGTCAGTAATCATCACACGTTGATTATTTGTGAGGTAAAAAATCTTACCTTCAGTCTTCTCAGTGGTCTTTCTGCAAACGTGCTTCTTTACCCTAAGGACTGAAACACCTTTAGAATCTAAATATGAATCTCTTCTACCTTTGGTTCCTCTGTTGGGTGCCTCTGGATCTTTGCCAAACCAGAGTTCCTACATTCCATACTAGGTGATTTGTATAGACTCCCTGTCACTTCGAGTGACTATACCCTTGTTAGGTAAGTTAGGAGGTCGGTGTGTGTTACACCGACTTCAGCCTGACTGACCTGTAGCTTTTCTTTGAATGTAGACTGAGGTGGAGAGACTCAGGTTTTTAAGGCTCAGACACAGTTGACCTAAAGCTTCCTTTCCAAGCCTGGTTGTAGATCCACGCAGTGCTTTTATCATGATGTTGCAGTGTTCTAGAGAAATGATTTGTAGCTCCAGCCATCCTCTGTGAAGGAAATTCTATTAAGTTTCTTGAAGCCCAGCAATGTGGCACATTCCTGTAATCATAGTGTTATAGGCAGCTGAGTTAGATGGAAATGTTATAGGCAGTTAGACAGGGCCAGGCCCTCGAAGGAGCCAGTGCAGAAGCCTGGATATCTTGCAGATGGACAGAGGGGCACTTTTGCTGTGGACCAGACCTCAAGACAAAAGATTAAACAGATGTGCCCATATACTTCCCTAGGGATGGACATCAGGGATTGATATTCTAAGTAGGTAGCAATCACCTTGAAAAAGCCAGGAAGAGTCATTAACCCCCTTACAAGAAAAGCCCTTATTCTGTATTCATACCCGCTTGCTACGTGACTTGCTTCCCCATTTGATCCCGATTTAATCAATTTTACCTAAACAATTATACTTGTAATCTTATTGGCTGATCATAGTTTTGTCCCACCTGGCGAGTTGCCGTGTTTTCTACTTTGGACCTGCCTCACCTTGTGGTTTTTGCTCTATAAAAATCCCTAAAAGAGGCAGTCGTGGGCAACCCATTTGGGCCCCCTTCTGTCCCTCTCTCAGACAGAACCTTTCTTTCCCCCAATAAATATATTCTGCTCTTAACCTCTGTTCCTAAAATTCATTCTTCAATTTTAGAGAACATGAACTCATCCCAGATATCTTTCAGGTTGGCAGTTTCTTTCCCCCGTATCAATAGCACATTGGGAGACAGGAGCATCACAAGTTTGAGCCCCATTTGGGCAACTTAGTGACTTAGCCAGACCATGTCCCCCACAAAGGGGGGCTCTAAGCTTAGTCCTAAGGTCCTGGGTTCAATCCACAGTATTGCCAAAAAAAGGACAAACTTAGAGCCCTTTCACCCATGCTCTTGTTGAAATTTGATTGCCACGGGGCTTCTGTAGATAATTCCTTTTATTCCAGAACCTTTTGTTTTTGCTGTTGGAATACGGAAAACTGAACCCAGGGCCTTTGAATTGACCTACATCCCCAGGCTATTTTTTTTATTTTTTTTTTGAGCAAAGGAGTACATTTTCAGCTGGGTGTGGTGATGCACACCTGTATTCCCAGCACTCGGGAGGCTGAGGCAGGAGGATCATTGTGAATTCAAGACCAGCTTTGGCTACAAAGTGAGCTCAGGGCCAGCCTGAGCTGCATAGCAAGACCATATCTCAAAAAGACCAAAAAAAAAAATGTATATATATATATATATGTATTTTCTTTCTTTTCTACATTTTTTATTTATGCATATTGGTTATACAGATTAATGGGCTTCATTTTGGTAGATTTATATGTGTGTACATAGTTTATTCATTCTCCCCATCACTCCCCTTATCCCACTCTCCCCACCTGGGTTCATATTTTGGTGGGGGGGGTCAATGTGTGTAATGTATTTTGATTATGTTTATTTCCCCTGTTACTGGTCCTTACAACACCCCTCTCCCCATATTCCCTTCTTCTTGTCTAGTGGTATCTCATTTCTACCTGTCATCTTTTTCAGATCCTACATATTAGGAAGAACGTATGATATTTGCTTTTGTGAGTGTGACATGATGAACTCTAAATCCATCCATTTTTCTGCAACTAACAAAATTTAATTTTTCATGTCTGAGTAATATTCCATTATATATAATATATATATGTATATACAATATTTTCTTTATCCATTCATTTGTTACACTTGATCTTAGCCAAAAGGCCGAGAAGCGATATCCATTCATTTGTTGATAGGCCCCAGGCTGGTTCCATATCTTAGCTATTGTATATTGTGCCACAGTAACATGGATATACAAAAGTATCTCTATGGCAGTGATGGTGAACCTTTGAGAGACTGAGTGCCCAAACTGCAACTCAGAACCCACTTACTTATCTCTAAGTGCCAACACTGGTGTTACACCTGAATGCTTTGCTGCTGTGGTGATACTGGTACCAATTGGCTCTCATGGTGACAGAGTGGGCTCTGCATGCCTGCTGCATCCCAGTTCTTTGAAGAATGTCATTGGTATTTTGTTGGGGTTAGGGTTCAGTTGCTTTTGGAAGTGTGGATATTTTAACAGTATTAATCCTGCTACTTTATGAACACAGGAGGTCTTAGTATGGTCTGTTTTTTCAACTTCTTTCTTCAGTGTTCCAAACTTTCATTGTAGAGATCTTTCACTTCCTTAGTTATTAATTTCTTCGTGTTTTATTTTGTATTTTGAAGCTATTGTGAATGGAACTTTTTATGATTTCTTTCTCAGCTAGTTCATTATTGAGGTATAGAAGAGCAATAGGTTCTTTTTTTTTGAGACAGGGTCTCAATCTGTAATTCAGGCTGGATTTAAACTCATGTGTAGCCTAGGTTGGCCTCAAATTTGAGGCAATCCTCCTGCCTCAGTCTCCTGAATGCTAGGATTATAGGCATGTGCCACCATGCCCATAGCTATTGATTGTTTAATGTTGATTTACTTTGCTGAATTTATCAGCTCTAAAATTCTTTTGGTGGAATCTTTAGGATCTTCTAAGTATAGGATCATATCATTTGTAAACAGGGATAATTTGGCTTCTTCCTTTCCTATTTGTATTCCTCTTACTGCTTTCTCTTGCTTAATTTTGCTCTAGTTTGAATTTTGAGAACTGTATTGAACAGGAGTGGTGACAGTAGACATCTTTGCCTCATTCCAGTTTTTTCCTATCCAGAATGATGTTAGCTGTAGGTTTGTCTTATATGACCTTTACTATATTGAGGAATGATTTTTAAATACATAGTTTCTTCAGAGGTTTTATGAGAAAAGATTGTTGGATTCTGTGTAAGGCTTTTTCTGTATCAGTTTAGAATGATAGTGTGAGTTTTGTCCTCTGTAGTGAATTATGTTTATTGATTTGCATATATTGAACCATACTGTACTTACATCCTTGGAACGAAGTCAGCTTGATCATGATGAATGATTTTTAATTTTTTGAAAATTTTGTTAGTAAATGCTTGCAGTACATAATGACTATATTCATTATGGGGAATTGATACATGTGCATAACATATATTCCCCTCCCATCATCTCATGGTCCCCTTCCCTTTTGCATATTTAAGCTTAGGTGTCTAGTCTATTTCACATAACATTGTGATCTGAAGGTG